GTATATATAAACTATTTAAAGTCCTAAATTAAATATGGATGGATTAAAGCCACCAAGTAATCTAAGTTTCGAAGGAAATTTAAGCGAAAATTGGAAATTTAAGAGTGTGTTTAGATCCTCAGTACCTTAACCAAAATATACTGAGAGAACATTATCACATACCAACCTTTGAAGAAATTTCATCTCAAATGACAAATGCAAAGGTCTTTAGTATTTTAGATGCAAACAAAGCATTTTGGCAAATTAAACTGTCAGATTCAAGTTGTGAATTTACTACATTTAACACTCCATTTGGTAGATATTGTTTTTTTGAGGTTGCCGTATGGACTGAGTTCATCACCAGAAGTTTTCCACAGAAGTTTTTCTGAAATTTTTTTAGTGATTTAGAAGGAGTTCAATATATATAGATGACTTATTAGTTTGGGGTAAAGAGAAAAAGAACATGATTCAAGATTAAAGAAGTTGTTGGACAGAGCCAGAGAAAAGAATGTTAAATTTAATTTAAATAAATGTAAATTTGGGCTGAATGAAGTGAAATATATGGGACAGACATATTTTCTAAAAGATGGTTTAAAACCAGATGAAGACAAAATTAAGGCTATTCTAGATATAAAAACCACCAAAAAATGTGAAAGAATTAGAAAGCTTTCCTAGGAATGATTACATAAGTTTCTAGATTTATACCTAATGTATCATAAATTGACATCATGTTTTAAGAGATTTATTGAAAAAACAAGTTATCTGGAACTGGAATGCAGTACACATGAAAAAGCATTTAGAAGAACTAAAAATTGTCTTGGTGAATAAACCATTTTTACAGTATTATGATATAAACATGCCAGTAGTTTTATCTGTAGATGTATCTCAAGAAGGACTAGGCGCAGTCTTACTGCAGAATAATTTACCAGTGGCATATGCATCTAATGCATTAACAGATACACAGAAGAATTTATGCTCAAATTGAAAAGGAAACTTTAGCCTATTGTATTTGCGTGTGAGAAAATTCACCAGTATATATTTGGAAAATATTACTGTGGAAAGTGATCATAAACCACTGGAATCAATTTTTTAAAAAGCCATTAAATAAATGCCCTGTAAGACTACAAAGAATGCGTATAAGATTACAGCTATATCAGTTTGAGATAAAATATAAACCAGGAAAAGAACTTTTTATAGCGGATGCATTATCAAGATCATTCACTGATAAAGGATCTGATTTTCTTTGAAGGAGAAATAGAAGCTCATGTTGGATTAGTTGTAGAATGTATACCAATGTGTAATGGTAAAATGGAAGTTTTTCAACTGGAAACAGAAAAAGATGAAGAACTACAAGTTTTAAGAAAATTAATTAAAACTGGATGGCCAGATGAAAAATGTATGGTTCCAGAACTGGCAAAACCGTATTTTAACTTCAGAGAAGAACTATCAGAAGCAAATGGATTAATATTTAAAAATTCCTGTGTTGTTGTACCAAGAAGTTTACGAAAGGATATGTTAAGCAGAATTCATTATGGTCATTTAGGAGTAGTAAAATGCAAGATCAAAGCAAGAGAAATATTATATTGGCCAAGAATGTCCAAAGAAATTGAAGATTTGGTACTGAATTGTCAAACATGTTTAAGTTTACAAAAAGCTAATACTAAAGAACCAATGATATCTAAAGAAATACCTAATGGTCCATGGGAAGTATTGGGAACAGACCTCTTTTACTTTCAAGGAAGGGATTATCTAATAGTTATAATAATTATATCTAATAGATTATTTTAGCAAATATGTTGAAATTGGACATTTGGAAGATTTGTCAAGTGTAGCAGTGATAAAGCAATTGAAATCAATTTTTGCAAGACATGGTATTCCGAAAATAGTATATTCGGATAATGGTCCACAATATAATTGCAGGAAATATAAAGATTTTGCAAGAAGATGGAATTTTGAAACCAGAACTTCAAGTCCAAAATACCCGCAGTACAATAGAATGGTTGAAAGACATATTCAAACTGTCATGCGAATGTTAGAAAAAGCTGTAGTTGACAACAAGGATCCATATTTAGTTTTACTGGAATATCGTAACTCTCCTATTTCAGATGAAATTAAGTCACCTTCAGAATTGATGTTTGGAAGAAAAGTAAATGGATTGATTGCCTATAAAAGAGAATTTCGTCCAAGCTAAACGATTTGAAGACCATAAACAACATTGTACTGAAGAGACAAACCTTACAAAAAAGAGTTATTATGATAGGAATGCAAGACCATTAAAACCACTGAAAACAGGAGATCATGTTTACATAAAAGAGAAAGGGACAAAACTAAATGAAAGAGGGAAAATTATAGAAGAAGCAGAAAAAAGACCACGTTCATATAGGATTATAAGAACAGGATGGAAGAATTGTAGAATAGGAACAGAAGAGACCTTCTTAAAGGAACTAATCAGGAAGAGTTTGCAATACAAAACAACTATGAGAATGAAGTTATAGATGAACCCGAGATACATGAAATATAGTAGGAGCACTACAAATTTAGATGTGCCTGTAAGTCCTTCAAAATCTAACAGAAGTGTTGTGTCACCAATAGTGAAAGAGGTATAGTATCATCAAATTTTTCAAATGGACATAACTACGTCACTCGATCTGGTAGGACTGTTAAGAAACCTTATTATTTAAAAGAATATGTTTAAATTTTACTATTATTATTATTTTTTATAAAAAAGGGAGATGTTATATATGTAACTGTAACTGTATCTATTATTATCTTTAACCATAACTGTAGAATAGTAGATGAGTAATGTAGAATAAACGATGTTTGTGTACATCTTGTAATCATCACTGAGCACGTACCCAACACATATAAAATACAACACAGGATTTGTAAATAAAAACTTTATTTTACAGATTGTGTACTGAGTTTGCATGTATTTATGCAGCCTCTTCTGAATTTGAATTAAATTTGAAAATTAAATTTAAGAATAATGCGATGCATGCTTTATAATTTTTAATTTCTTAAGAAAATAAAATTATATACGTTTTTAAAAACTTTGCCAGATTAAAAGATCAGTTCAGTATTTTAAGTAAACTATTCCTATTATTAAATAATAATTGACAAAATTTTATTTTGGGAGTTATTGAAAATAAGCAATATGTTGTTTTTAAGGTAAGATTGAAGTTTTTTTTTTAATAATTCATATTAGTGGTCCACCAAAGTGGTCCGTAAAGTTATAATGATTGACGCCCTAACACCTGAAATATATTACTTTCATTACCTTTTTACTTCTTTCTACAAAGCAAAAAAGAAGTATTGTAATCACGAAAAGTTTCAGGCAGCATATTTCAACGAAAATATCCATTTTGACCGCTGTCGAATGCAATTTAACGTTGTTTTTCCGTGATATCTGTACGTAAGAACAGAATAAAAGACTTGTTTCCTACAAAAAAATTATAAAACTGCTTTGAAATGAATTCTGAAGAGACTTTTTTGTGGCGTCTGTACGAACGTATGTACGTATGTGCGTACATATCTAGCATAACTCAAAAAACGAGTAGCCTCAGAATGTTGAAATTTTGTATATAGGACTGCTATATAATGTAGATGTGCACCTCGTATTTTGGTTGCAATCGGCTGCACCAAACGTATATAAATATATTTATATAGATATTCTCTCCGTTACCCGGCTCAGTGATCTCAGTTTCTTTACTCCTATATGATTGTAAATTGTACATTTTTTGCTTTAAAAATGATTGAATTATGTTGCTTTTATCTTCCGGTTAAGGTTTTTAAGCCTTTAGTAAACCTGTATGCAATATTTTTAGAATTATCAACAATTTTAAAGTTGTTTAAGTGCCGCTAAGCCTTTTTTCTATGGCAGCCATTGATTGTTTACATTTGAAACAGCAGACTAGTGGATTTGTTACCAATTTAGAGAAACTTAGCTTCGCAACAACAAAGAGAACGCCTTCATTTATTATTGCCAATTAAATCATGCTTAATCCTTTCTGGAATTTTTTCGAGGAAATAAGTGTTTAAGATTTACTTCGTAATTTTTAATATAGATATTTTGAGTTTTTATGAATTTTTGCCTTTTCGTGAAGTGAGAGCTGAATTAATTGAATGAGAAATACTCAATCGTCTGTGAAAAACTGTTTCTTTTTTGTTTTGTTTGCTTTATTTCTTTTATACATCATTCTAGCTTTATTATAGTATTTGAATAGAACATGTGGCAACGATTAGATAATTCTATTCTTTAAATGATATAAATTTTGTGTATTCTGAATTATAATATGAACGAAATATAATACTGTTAAATGAACCTAGCGCCGGAGTGTCGCTATGGTAAACAAATACTAGAGTGAATTTTAAAGAATGCATTTATTCTATTCTAGTTTATGCGCTGTCGGCGAAGTAGATTTAATTCAAACCAATACGTTTAAATGAAATGCAAGAAAAAAGGCTTATAATTTAATATTCCGTACAAGGAAGTCATGTGGTGTACACATCAGATTTTTTTTCAATTATTTTTGTTTACTATAAAAACAAATGCCACTATTATCACAGAAAGACGATTCAAAACACCTTATTGTTATCTCCAAGCCTATTTGATAAAATTGATTTTCGAGTATTTTTTAAATTTGGGATTTGTAGGAGGTTCTGTAGGTTACTTTTCTAAATAACCGATGTCTGGTCGTAAACTCTTCATGCCTTAAGCATTTTATATTGTTAGGCACATGTGTTTGCTTAGACTTCAAAACTGATGACTCGAGTTTTTATCTTAAATTTCTGATAGTTACAAATTTCAAAATTTAAAAATATCGGTTATTAATGGAAGAAATAATCATAGTTAGGCTGTTACATGAGTTACCTTTCTAAATATTTAATGTGATAATATGAGTACGTAACCCCTTTATTTATTTAACGGATATATTAAAATTAACTAATATAAAGCTATTTGTGTTCACAGTTAAAGTAAATTTGAAAGCAGGACTATATTTAATTAAATACAATGAAACAAGTGCTGTTGAAATGCATTTTATTTTCTTCAGAAGCATGATAAAATCAATGGCACATAAATAAACATCAAGAAACATACGTTCTTGAAATTTAGTTATTCTGAATAAGGCGAACGTATAACAACATAGAAATTTGATATGAACACAAAGTTCAATGAAACTTCAGGAAATGAAAGGAAAAAAATGGCTGTTGAGATGGACTTGCAAGTCTAAATAAATATTAGCTTAACGTGGTAAGCTTGACTGGAAACATTGTACCTTAAGATCGTTTTCTGATATGATAAGACAACTTTGACTAGCTACCCATAGTAAGAGCTTATTTGTCGAAAGAAAATTAAAGGATCTTCCTTACATAGTTTGACTTCAGAGAAATGTCTCCTGCCTAAAGATAAACAAAAGGAGTTTTCTAGGAAAAGCTAATAAGTAGAATGTAGTAGAAAGAAAAGAAGACATAAATCATTATTTCTCTTTTCATTCAGAGGTATGAATTATTTTACATTAAGTTTTTCATTTGTTCTGTATACTGAATGTTTAATAGTGGTAGGCATATCCGTAGTGAGGGGCAGCTAAATGGTGAGAAGCATATGCTACTGGAGCTGGTGCAGCATATGCTAAATGAGCTGGAGCAGCGTAGGCTATATGTGCAGGTGCCGCTGCCAGAGCAGGAGCAGCATAGGCTATGTGATGTGCGGGTGCTACAGCGAGACCAGCCTTGTTGATTGAAGCATGAGCGGGATCTTTGGGCTCTACGCCTGGTTCGTTGCTCTTGATTTCGGCACGGAATCCAGCAGCATCAGCAACGTAGTTAACAACACGAACACGTCCATCAGCATCTCTCAGTCCGTAAGAACCAGCAACATTGCCATGGCCATCTCCAGATTCTTTTCGGAAGGATCCCCCACTAAGGTGGCCCTCATCGTAGCCAAAGTTGTAGCCACCTAAGCTCTAGAGAAAAAAATTAAAAATAATAATAAAAAAACTGAAAGCTTTCAGATTTTACATTACATTGTTTTTCAAACGTTTTGATTATTACCTTTATTTATTAAATATTATGTTCTTCGCACTTAAAGCACATAAAAGTCAATTCAACAGCAGTATAGCAAAATAATTTAAAGACAAGCCTACCTTTAGAATTTCCGATACACAATCTCGCGTGTTGGAAATAAAAATGCTTTTTTTCATACAGTGTTGCCACTGCTCCTTTCAAATTGCTGAGGTTGTTAATCAAAAGTTTGTTAAAATGTTACAAGATTGCTGAAATCGATGATAAAGCCCATATTCGGTGGAAGATTACGTAATTCAAACTTAGACGGCTCTAGGTACCGTATAATAAGATTACTCGTAGTTCCTAGTATATGCTTGAGAATTTAAGAAAACCTCGCTTTGCAATCATATTTTTAGTTATACCATTCATATATTTCTTCGCGTATCTGTTTACCTCCATAATTTTTTCCCCCGTCCGTTTTCTTATATGATATCTAGTTCGTGGTACTTGCAAAAAACATTTAGTTTTTTACTTCCTTATACGAAGTAAAAGAAGCATTGTAATAGTGAAACATTGCCGGGTTTTATTTTGAAAATTCTCAGATTCATTTGCACAATTCTTTTGCGTGACCTACGCACAAAATAAAGGTCTTTTCTTTTCCAAAATTGATTGTAAAATAGATTATTTTCGTGAAGTCTGTACGTACATAACTATCTATACGTACGTACATAACTATGTATGCATGTATCTCGCATACTACATAAACGAGTCACTACAAAACTGTAAAACTTTCTGTATGGAACTGCTATAGAATCTAGTTACGCACCACAATTTTTTACTGCAATTTCAGTAACAAATGTGTGTGTGTTGATATATATATATATATTGTTTCATAAGAATAAATTGAATTTAATTAAATAAATTTAATTTAAATACAAATTTAATTAAATAATTCTTTGGCCATTGCTGCAAGGAATGAAATTTAAATCAAAATTTTAACAAACACGTATAAAAGTAAAAAAGCATAAGCGCCATCTATATAATTAATTTAAAGAACACACTTACTTCTCTTTAAAAACACTTTTGCAGACCCCAATGCTCATATAGTAGGTAAATTAGAATTAAAACTTACTATTTACTTGCTTTAAGTATTTTTTTAAATTTTTTATGTAGTATTTACGTATTTTCTAGACATAAAATTATTTTTAAGTATATATTTGTTTTTTAAAAATTGTGAATTAGTTCTTTTTGTTTCTTATTGGTTTATATCGATTATGTCTAGTTCTTTTTTAGTTTCTTTTTATTGATATGCATATTCGTGTCGGGGAGGTTTCTGTAGACAAGGGTTTCTAAAATACATTGGTTTCTAGATTATTTTTTTATAAAAAATTAATTTTTAAAAAAAATTATTTAAAAAAAGTTTAATTTAATACTTGACTTTACTTGCTTGTTTCTCAAAAGACTTCATATGTATTTTCCTTTTAGAACTTTAATTCTTAAATGCTAATTTAAGGGTACCACTTTATTGATATTTCTTTTTGGACATTCTTCACTTTTTACTTTTGGTTTTGACTTTTACCCTTGCCTGCATAAATGACGAAACACGAATTGAATGATTGGAGAGTTAGGTTTGGAGGCAACTTCCCCTTAATAAGTCTGTCTCCTGCCTGCTAAACAGTCATTCACTTATGCATTTTTTTAAAAAAAAATTGTTTGGATTAATTTTAATTTGCTAAGTTAGTGAATTTATTTTCATGGATTGGTTTTGCACTTGATTTGCTTATGCTTCTAAATTTAAATGATATTGTAGATTAGTTCAAGAATTAAATCTTTTATATGTTTGCACATTTTTTAAAATTTTTTTAAAAATTATTTTGGCTTTAAATTTGCTTTTTTTATTTATTTTATTTATTTATTTATTTATTTTTTTATAAATTTGCTTTTTATTTATTTATTTATTAATTTTTTTATTTTGGCTTTATATTTGCTTTTTTACTTTTATACGTGTTTGTTAAAATTAAAATTTAAATATATATATATATATATATATATATATTTAAATTACCTAAGCTAATACTAGATGTGCATATATATATATATATATATATATATATATATATGCACATCCTTATCCAGTCATATACTTTAAATTACGGAACTGTTTTAAATGATGAAAATCTTCATCTTTTGGTAATGTTAAGTTCAAAAAGAAATTTAATTTTTGTCAAGTAACGAAATTTATCTTTTAAAGCAGTCCCTGTATTTGTTTTTAAGAAAGTTTTACACTGGTTATGAAGAAAATAAAATTATGATAAGTTTGACTCTCGTACGACAAAAATTGACCTGGGTATTTAATTTGAAAATTTGCAGTTTTTGACGTAATTTTCAGTTTACTCTGTGAGATCGGTTATTCAAGGCAGTAAAACTAATTAAAATAGATTTAAATGAAGTGCAGCAAAAAATGAATATAATTTAAAAAGAAGTTATGTGATGCCCCACCATTTTTTAAGGTAAGAATATTTAATGCATTTACGTAAAATCTCTTATTAGTTTAATCAATTAAAATTATACATTGCAAGCATATTCTATAACTGATGATTTTGAGGATTTTTAATCCCGATTTTGAAGGACACTTACCAGAGTGTTCACAGAAAGAGAAAAATGCGATATAACAATTTACACATTTAACAAAAATTTACTATGAAAGAGGAAAATTTGCAAAATAATGAGTTTCCAGTGAGAAACAACGCGAGAATTAAACATTGCTTTTATTAGAAAAGTTGCATTTTAGTGTAGTGTGGGAAGCATTTACAATTTGCTATGGATTTTAAAAGAAGATAACTTATAATGAGTTCTAAAATATAGAATTTTCTTAAGAAGACAAATGAAATTAGTAAATTAACTAACATAAGGAAACAAGCTTTTCATGTGAAACGTTTCAAAATGTCGTTCTAATTTTATAAATTTTTGTTTTCATTTTGTCAATGCATTAAAACCAAAGATTTGTTGTAACATTTTCTTTAATAAAATTTCTTATGGGTAAAGATATTGGATAAAATTTGCATGTACTCAATTAAGTTAATCTGAATAGTAAAACATGTTATGTATCTAGTATTAGCTTAGGTACTTTCTTTAAAGTTTACGGTTTATGGATAAGATCATAAATAAATTTTCAGCCCTCCCGACCTACTTCATGAAAACTTCAGCTCTAAATAATTCATGCTATTAGGCTGAATGTTACGAAAGAATGAAAAGCATTATGATGCTCAGAGAATTCTGAAAATATTTTGATTATTTAAAAAAATAAAATTAGGAAAAAAATATTCTCCTTACAGTAATTGAGGCAATAGTTAAGTACATACTAAGGAAAGCTGTTTATCAGATAAAAAAGTATATTGCTGATACAATCCGTTAAAACTTATATAAAATTATAAACTCGTTCTTTTATTGGAGGAAATATAATACATGAAAATCTTTAGTTTCCGAAATAGTTTTTAACTTTTTTTTTTTACATTTTACTTTATTGTTATACATCTACGTATTTTCAAAGGAAACTTACGTTTTATTGCTTCTTCCAAAAAAAAAAAAAAAAAAAAAAAAAAAAAAAAAATGGCTCACATAAGTGATGGGACACCATTAGATACTACTACGTACTACAATAAAAATATCTTTGGGGTTTTCTTATTTTTACTCAAAAGCAATTGGCAAAAAAATCTGAAATTTTTCAGATTTTAAATTACGTCCAAATGGGCGTTTTTTTAACGTTTTGAGTGTTACCTTTATTCATTAAATATCATGTTCTTTGCACTTAAACCATAAAATTCAGTTCAAGAGCAATATCGCAAAATAATGTTAAATTAAGCATATCTTTAGAATTTCCTATATACACAGTCTCGCGAGCTGGAGATAAAAGTATTTTTTTTTTCTATATAAAACCCGTAATGTTTCCGTCCATAAATTTTTTTAATATTAAAACATTCATCAGATTTTTGGTTCATTTAAAAAATAGGGCTCATATAAAGAATTCCATCCAATTTCAAATATGTACCATGAACCATTTTTAAAATATCGTGCGCGCAAGGTGGAAACGTGACGAAATATTTTGTCACAAAGCGGATAAAATTATAAAAATATTTGTGGCAACACAAACTTTCTGGTTACTAGTTTCCAAAGCAACTATATTATGTAGTTAGCTGTAAAAAATTGGAAGTAATTGATTTTAAAATTTAAAAAAAAAATCTGAAATTTTTCAGATTTTAAATTACGTCCAAAAGGGCGTTTTTTTTTAACGTTTTGAGTGTTTACCTTTATTTATTAAATATCATGTTCTTTGCACTTAAAAACCATAAAATTCAGTTCAAGAGCAATATCGCAAAATAATGTTAAATTAAACATATCTTTAGAATTTCCGATATACACAGTCTCGCGAGCTGGAGATAAAATTTTTTTTTTTTTTTTCTATATAACGTTGCCATTTCTCGCTTTTTAAAGCATTGAGTTTGTAAATCAAAAATTCGTTAAAGTTTTACAAAATATAAAATCTATAATAAAACAAATTCCAAATTTGGGATTTCAGATGCCCATATTCGCAGTAGGATTTCGTCATTCAAAATTCGATGGCTCTATGTACCATTGTTTTATCACAATGCGAGAAATAGACAATCATTTATTATGCAGATTTTTTTCATTATTTAATTTCTTCAAATATAATGCAGGACTCTAACATTTTGTGGTAACAGTTTGAAAAGTGAACCGACGTTTATGAGTCCGACGCAAAATGCCAAAACGAAAGCAATAGTCCTTCGGGACTGAAATCCCTTTGGACTAAAAAAAAAATCTGCATATTTTATAACTCACAAGGTCTACAAAAGGATGGAATTTAAATACCTTTCCCATGCAGTCAATAAGTTAAAAAAAATATCGGAATCTTTCATCGCAGAAAGCATTTTATATAATCCAAAAACTTTTCTGCAATTCGTTGCAAATTAAAAATTTTGAATTAGCCGCGATATGAGACTTCCTCCCCCCCCAAATGATTTCATAAAAATATTACATTAAAGTATTTTATTTAAATGCGATAATAGATGTACCGATTTCTTGAAATATTTGAAGCTAATCATGTTATGTAAAGGTACTGAATGTTATGAAACTGGAAATACTTACATCTTGGCTTCTGTATTGACTGCTAGCGCCTGAACTAATAACCGCAGGATGATGGAGGACTGCAGCTGCCTGGGAAGCGGCCACGAGAGCGAACAAGATGAGGATCTAAAAAGCATAAAAGTACATATTAATGAACAATAATAAAGGAAAGTTTGGCTAGGCATAAGAAATTCAAACATTGTACTGTAAGATATTGTGTAGTTTAATGAAAATTAAATATCAAAGAAAAATTCAAACTAAACCTAAATTTGTTAAAGATTTTATCTAGAATAAACGAAAATAACTTGATTAAACCTGAGTATTATTATTTTAGTTAATTCTAATAATATTTAGTTAGTGTAGTTAAAAATAAATAAATAAGCTGTTATAAAATATTAAGCTTTCTGAAATGTTATAAATCTTACAATTTTTATGTTATCATTATATATATGAAGCAGCTTGTTTAGGCAAAGAAGTAACTGTTACAATTGTTTTGAGAAAATACGCTAAGGAATAGGAACAATTAGAATGAGTTTTTAACATTAGCAATTAATCAAAATTTTCTTTCTATTTTGTGAATGCTGCAGGATTGTTAAATGTCAGCATCTAAATGGAGGAAAATCTTAACCATGATCACTGATTAGGAACATTTATAGTATTTTGAGACGAATAGAACTTTTGAATGCAGTCAAGAATTTTTATTGACTAATCATTTTATTTAAACATTAATAGAAGAAAATTATCGTAAAACTAAATCCATATATAAATGAGAAAATTCCTTTTACATTATTTTAAGGATTTTTAAATATAAATATATTTTAAATTCAATTGTGCCGCTAGTTTTATTATTAGAAAAGTTTTAAAATCTCCAGTTTTGCAAATTTAATCACAGGAAAATTAAAAGGGGAAATTTATACATAGTATAACATTTCTGAGAAGAGAAGTCAAATGAAGAAATTGACAGATTAAAGAGCGTATCAAAATGGACGAATTAATATTTCTGAATTCTGCATTTCGAAGAATTCAGTTGCAGAGACAAATTTCATTATATTCATTCAATCAGATATTGCCTTTCCACCCTTTACTATCCTACTGAATCATACGATATAAAATCTCAGAACAAATACGCCAAGGAGGAACATAAACGAATTTTATTTTTCCAATATTTTATACCCAAATTCTTAATTCACGATGATTTATAATCTTTACTTTATTCTAAGCTCTGTTTTGTTATAATGTTACGTGTTTAAAATTGTCCATTTTAGCTGCTTTAAACTTATCTATAATTAAATCAATGTAAGGGCTTTGTATATTTCAGCAAACAGATATAGTACTAAACTGAATTAAAGTCTAGTTCTAACATAATTTCTACCTATATATGAAAATGAAAACTGGGATAAAAATTTTGCAAAGTTTTTCAACTGAATCCGGATTGATCACCTTAGTCGAATCTCCTGTTAAATAAACCCCGTTTATGACATCCAGCCTGAAAACTTATCCCACCTGGTAGACGGGTAAGTATATGGCTTACATTATATATTATATATAGATATTATATAGATATTATATATAATGTAATGAGAGTCATATACGTCGTAGCTATATGACTCTTGACATTAAATAAGGCTCATAGACATTTACTCTTGAATGGAGATCTAAAATTTGCTACTTAATACGAATCAGCGAATGGCAGACCCCCGTCTATTCGATTTTCTGTTCTTTGCTGGCTAGATAACGGATTAAATGGCTGCAACGTCTAAAATATTAGTCTCTATAACCCATGGAAAAGGTTAATGGAGTTAAAATCAGATTTCGCTAGTAAAAGTAATCTTATTAACAGAACGGTGTAATATCAACTATACTACTTTTGAAATATGTCGATTAGCAACAAGGATATGAACAGAAATTATGTATTCCTGTTAGAAAAATCTAAAGCTTTCTCACCTGCATGGTTGAGCTTGCTGTTGATCAAAGCTGAAACAACTGCTGTGGATACTTCGGACGCTCACTGCAGTTTATATACCTTGGTCATCGAAGGGCCACAACAGGTGTTTTCCTTTCAGAATGTACAACCGCACGTGACCTGGGAGATGGCCGAGAGGGTGTAGTCCCTCGATTCCGTTCGCCTTCGAAGGTCATTCGGAAAGAATCGTTGCGTCCGACTTCTTTACGAGGTCAGTAAAAGAAACTACTGAGCAAAGAAAACAGAACCAAAGAACCCCCGAGGGGAAATGGAATCTTTACATTTTCTTAACTTTTCCACTTTCATTTCCTTATACATTGTTACAATTCCACAACTGATTTCAAGAGCTAAAGAATAGCTAAGAAATCTATATTAAATAATAATAAAGTGGAATTATTGTTTAATCGTTTAGCGAAGCATTAAATTTAAAAGGGGTACAGAATTTTAACTGTGCTTCAAACATCAGAGGTATTATAATACAGTTTTTACGGAAACATTTCCATATGATATAGCTATAAAATAAAAACTGTAAATTCATTAACATGTCTCCGTTTCAGCAAAGATTCGTTCTAAACACCAGTAAAGCATAAAAATGCATTTTATTAAAATATTTTAAGTGGCGTACATAATAGAGCTTCTTTCCGGTTTTTAATGTATAAATTAATTAACTGTTTTTCCTCAGGAACTAATAATGCATTTTTTGATTGTGAGAATTAAAGACATTTTCTCTTTCTATTTCATTAGACACACTCTCACACAAATTTATCTATAAAGGAAAAAACCTGATGTGTACACCACATGACTTCCTTGTACGGAATATTAAATTATACGCATTTTTTTCTTGAATTTCACTTAAATTGACTGGATTGAATTAAACATACTTCGTCGACAGCGCATAAACCACAATAGAATAAATGCACTATTTAAAATTCACTATATTTGTTTACTATAAGGACACTTTGAATGCACAATTATTTGAAGAATTATCTTATCGTTGCCACATGTTCTATTCAAATACTATAATAAAGCTAAAACGATGTATGAAAGAAATTAAGCAAACAAAACAGAAAAGAAACAGTTTTTCACAGACGATTGAGTATTTCTCATTCAATTAATTTAGTTCTCACTTCGCGAAAAGGCAAAAATACATAAAAACTCAAAATATCTGTATTAAAAATTACGAAGTAAATCTTAAAACACTACTTATTTCCTCGAAAAAATTCCAGAAAAGATTAAGCATGATTTAATTTGCAATAATAAATGAAGGCGTTATTTTTTGTTGTTTGCGAAGCTTAGTTTTTCTCTAGATTGGCAATAAATCTACACATTCATTCTGCTGTTTCAAATGTAAACAAAATATGTCCGCCATGTTATTTAAAACTTAACCGCACTTAAACAGCTTTTAAATTGTTGATAATTGAACAAATATTGCTTCCAGAATTACGAAAGGCATAAAAACCTTAACTGGAAGATAAGAATAACACAATTCAATCATTTTTAAAGCAAAAAATGTACAATTTACAAACATATAAGAGTAAAGAAACTGAGATCTCTGAGCCGGGTAACAGAGTGGATACATATATAAATATATTTATATACGTTTGGTGCGGCCAATTGCAACCAAAATACGAGGTGCACATCTACATGTTATAGAAGTCCTGTATACAAAATTTCAACGTTCTAAGGCTACTCGTTTTCGAGTTATGCGAGATACGTAAGTACGTACGTACGTTCGTACAGACGCTACGAAAAATTCACTTCAGAATTAATTTTAAAGCAGTTTTATAATTTTTTTGGAGGAAAGAGTGTTTTATTCTGTCCTTACGTACAGATATCACGCATAAACATCGTTAAATTGCATTCGATAGCGGTCAAAATGGTTATTTTCCTTGAAAAATGTTCCCTGAAACTTTTCGCGATTACAATACTTCCTTTTTACTTCGTACAAGGAAGTAAAAAGAAAGTCTGTGTGTTTGGTTGTCTTCTAATGACTCAGTCACTACACTAGCTATCGTCACTAAACTTTCTACAATTCTTTTCTGGATCCTGGAGAAGTTTCAGTTTTTTAAAAAAAAAAAAAAAGTAGCTAAAATAAAAGATATTAATTAAAAACAAGGAAAAACGATAATTTTTGCCCTCTTTTCTAAGTGGCAATATTCTCACAAGCTGGAGATGAAAATCTGCTTTATTTCGAAAGCTGTTGCCACTGCTCATTTTCAAATCCTCGAGCTTGTTGATAAACAAACCGAAATTCTACGATGAAATAAAAATAACGTTGCCAAACATTAAATACATTATTCCCGATTCAAAAAATTCGTGGGAAGCCATTTCGGCTATTCCCATCTTCGTACGACTTCAATCAGCCAAAAGATTACTTAAAAACTCTGAAAGCGCTAATTACCGCACACATTTTTGCGAGTGGCAACAGTGTCGCGCGTTGGAGATAAAATTATTGCTACTGCTGGCTTTCAAATCGTAGAGTTTGTTAATCAAAAATTTGTAAATGTTACAAAATCTATACATATAAAGAAGAATGTCTGTTGTGTGTTTTTGTGTTTGCGTCATTGATTTCTGATCAATTATAATAAATTTTTGCCACATTTAATCGACTGAAATTAAATATAGGGGAAATATTGGATGGAACTTGAGCTTTGACGACCATTTGATTAGAAAGACGAAAATCATTAAAAACTGCCTGCCATTGTTGCTGATATAATGAGAAAGAATTAGTTTATTTTTCTATCGAAATGTTTTATGTGGGTTCCATATCGCATCAGACTGAAAAATGTATAACAGTGAATCATAACACACAATACATTCAAAATGAGAAAGGAAAATAATAGAAATTAAAAACTTACTTAATTATACAGTACGTTCTAAATGGGAAAATAAAATAACAGTCATAAAAAACTTACTAAATTATGTGATTCAAATCTTATTTATTGCAACAACTTAAACTATTATGGTATTTTATGACCTCTCTTTTCGACTTTCACCAGAGCATATCTGTGATTGTCGACATACACCGGTGAGGGTCCGAATATACAAGAATGTAGTGCAATATTCGGTCTTTCACCGACGTATTTGGTGAATGTTGATATTCTCCGGTGAAAGTCAACATTCTCCAATTTCGGTCTTTCACGGTAACATATATATTTATACATTAATTACAATATGTACATAGATCTGTGTGAAGAAACTAAAACTAAAATATGCTTAAAGTTATATAGAATGAAAACGAATTTATGTCAAAAATGCGAATTGTGCTTAATAAAAATATGAAATAAAAATTCTATTCACTGGGAACCTCTGATCCATGCTACACTTTTAAGTATGCTAATGTTATGTACAGTAATTTCTTTAATAAAATAACATAAAGGTAGGATACACGTAAAGTTAATCAAGAAATGGTTAGTGGGTTAGTGGATCTTTTTGTTTATATATACATATATATACACAAATAGTTTGGTTTATGTATATGTACAAAGTAAAACACAGTTCAAAATGTTATTTAAAGGGAGTAAATACGAAGCACAGAAAAGGTTTAGCTACAAAGTAAAAAAACAGTTGATTACCTAATCCAAATATGCGCTAATACCAGCAACCAGTGGTGGTAATAATAAAAAATAAAGTAAAAAAATAAATACTTTAAAATTCCTTCCCATATTGGATTCGAAATACACCACGTTGACGGAGAAAAAAGCGAAGCGGAAGAACTCAAGGAATAGGCTAGAAAGCATGCCAAAAACAAAAATAAAAAATAATATTTATAACTTTTTCTGGAACGTCGTCAGGGTGTTTTCGCAACAAAAGAAGTAAATAAATAAAATAACCTGTTTTTGAACCGACAAGGACACAAATTAAAATTTTAAAATAATCTTATAAAAATAATAACCATCGAAAAAGAATGAAAATTTTCTGTGTCCATACCATTCCAACCTCTACAGGTAACATTAAGCACTGCAAGTATTGTAGCATGAAAAGGATAGAGAAATTTAAAAAACATTGTGAAATAATTGTAAAATTTAAAAAATATTTTGAGTAGATCGAGTCCAAAACCAAAACTTGAAAAAATCATAATCCAACACTTGAAAAAACAAAACTATAAGCAATATTTTTCATTCAAAATTTAAAAAACAAAACTAAATGCAAAATTTGGAAACAAACAAGCTTGGTCAAAAACTAAAAGCATACTTCATAAACAAGCAAAATTGCTTAAAAATTCAATATTTTCTTTTTAAATTAGATGACCGAGTTAAAAGCCATGTAAAACAGAAGTTACCCAACATATGCAAAAATAAAAGAAATATGAAAATTTGATTTAAAAATGTAAAATAAAATATAATATAAATATGGAAATAATAAATAGAAGAGTTAAGTTCTTAAATCTGTAACACAAAAGCAACAAAAGATTTGAAAGGATAAAATATACTTACATACACCTGTCAGTGACAAAGCCAAAAATGTGTCGCGATAAATTACGAATTTAAAACTGATAAAACTCAATAAAAGTAATTAGATGAATAATTTGAAAAAGAACAACGAATCGCTTGGTTTATGAATATGTATGTAATGGAATTAGAAGAAGTTTATTGTAATTAATTGGCGTTATAAATTGACTCATGAAACAGAAGCTTGCAGACGTGGCCGAATTCAATTGTTTCCTTTTTATTCATGGCTGGCATACACTTTTATTTAATTCAACGCAAATCAAATCGGCATTACAGCACCTTGTTCTTAAAGAATATTTTACATTGGATAAACTTAAAAAATATACTTTTTGAAGACATCAGCATTTTGGTAGAGCAAATCCAAATAAGAGCAAAGACAAAAAAAAAAAAAAAAAAAAAAAAAAAAAAAGCAACGACCCCCCCCAAAAAAAAATACTGAAAGATTTCTGATTTTATATTAGGCCCAAAGAGGTGTTTTTTAAATATTTTTTGCGTTACTTTTATTTATTAAATATCATGGGTTTCGCACTTGAACCATAAAATTCAGTTCAAGAGAAAAATGAGAAAACAATTTAAAAAAATGTATGTGTTTAGAATTTCCGATAAGCAGTGTTGCCACTGCTCGTTTTTTAATCGTTGAGTATGTTAATCAAA